AGTGGGGAATCGCACAGTTAAAGAAACCTGACAAAACTTGACAGTGATCCTCATCCCAGCCACATCACACTTGGCTGCGAACCGCTCCAGCGAAAGCTGTAGATCATGACCTAATGAAACCAATATGACCACATCATCTGCAAAAAGCAAAGATGCGATCCTAAGGCCATCAAAACGGATCCCCTCAACACCTTGGCTGCACATAGAAATTCTGTCCATAAAAGTTATGAACAGAATCGGTAACAAAGGGCAACCTTGGCGGAGTCCAACTCTCACCGGGAACGAAGCCAACATATTCGGTCAGTAGTTCCATTTAATTCAGCTGATTTTATTTAAATTGAGTTAAAATCAGTTCTATTCACTAATTTTAAACCCAATTCAGTATTTTTGTTCAGTTTAGTTTAATTCAGTTAACTTTAGTTGAATAACATTTAATTAATGTAGGTTTCAGTAATTCGTTTACCATCTGTTCATTTGGAAACATCATTTCAACTGAACTACATTCAGTTCAATTCAGTTAGCAACATTTATTTCAATGCAGTTTAGTCCAAGTCACTTGTCTGATTTAAATGAGATCCATTTCAGTTTATTTAGTTACATCGTATTATAAATTTGGTTTAATCAAATTAATCTCAACTCAGTACTAGTTATGTTAATGTTTTGAAACTATAGAACCAATTTTAATTTATTTATTTAAAGTTATTTTTGTTCCATTCAATTCATCTGATTTGAGTATAATTTCCTTGAATTAAAATTCAGTTCAATTAAATCCAGTTGTTGTACAAAGGGCCCTCATGGTTTATTGTTTAGTAATATTTCAGGTTTATTGTTGTTAGTCTGTACATCACGTTGTCTGCTGATGCCTGTTTTTCAGAGTTTGTGTGTTAATAAGTAAGTTGTGGTAAGCTCAATAGTTTATTTGGGCATCCTCTTATAGTTTAATGTTTCACAATGAGGTCTTATTGTCATACATGTGTATTGTGAGCCACTGCGCAGTGTTTGTTTTTTTACCCGTCGCAGATTTAAAAATAAAGAGGTCTGGAAATACCATCCGTTAGTCCAGCTGTGCACGTTGTGAGCATGATAACTTGAAAAATAAGTGAGGCATCAGCTTCCATATCGGTGTGTGTCTGCATCTAGGTGTAAGAAAGTTTGCTTTTAAAAACTGGGATGCCACGTCAAAATGCAAGTTGGCCACAATATACAGTATATGTAAACCCACCACCACTATTATTTGAAAAACTATGCTTCATGATTTTATATTTCTTTAAAGTACAGTTTCTTCAAATGGTTGGGGTGGCTGAAAGTGAATCTATGGTAGGTAAGGCCACCAGTGACTCTTCCCTTAGGTTGGTGTGGTGTCCTCCTTTCTGTTTCCTTCTCAAATCCATCCTTATGACACTTAAAGAAAGCTGAACCGAGTCCTGGTCTTGAAGAGGACACCCCAAGTTGTAACAAAGTACAAACAGTGCTTTACAGTCCTATTATAAAAGACAGGTTTGTGTAACACCTGTATATGACCAAGTTCATCTCAGAGCATCAGGTCCATTTCAGTTCAGATCCAGGAAGCAGAAATAGAACCAGGATATTTGGCCTTCTGCCTCAAACGGCTTTTCATCAAGTGTTGTATTTATTTGGATAGTTTGGATAGCTTGTTTAAGGCTGGCACAGCTTTCAGTGTTTTTTACTTGTGATTTTTTTAATTAAAGTTTTAATATGATGTGCTGTTTTAACTGAAAAGCAGAGAACCCATTCTGTTCTGCGTTTAACATCCTGAACTTTGTGTCGATCTGTGAGCACAGACACGCTCGGTTGTTTCCGGTAATGACTACCATCATGCCAACGGTCAGGTCAGCTCATATTTCTTCTGCAAATTAAGACGAACATGGTCCGCTAATCAGTCGCCCTGATATAATCTTCTTTTGGCAGCCTGAATAAATGAATGCAGGGAGAAATTCCCTTCTCTGCTTTCTGCAGAGATAAATATATCAGTCAATACCTTTTTTTGGAGGGTAAATAATGACACAATTAGCAGCACATTGTGAACCACGAGCCCTAATCAATCGCCAATGTTTTATTTCTTTCCGACATTTTGACTTCAAAAGAAGTTCCCGTAAATCCACCCCTGGTGGGTTCAAGGTTCCTGGTTGCAACTGTTAACTGATCACTGTGCCTCTTTATTAAATCACAATAATTGATTTTCTAGTTATGAACAAATAAACAGGGTCTAGATTGGAGAACCTTGGACTTATTGGTCTGAATGCAGTTTTGGTTTTCTATCTGTACTTTTTTTATTATTATTATTTTATTTACCCTTTATTTATACAGACTAGTCTCACTGAGTCACAAGGACACATTTACAAGAGAGACCTATTTTAGACAGACAGCATAAAGCACAGACAACAATATACAACAATTACAAGGCTATTAAAATAAAAGTAGTTGTAAAAACACTGTGACTGTTAGAAGCATGGTCCTATTAGCAGAGTGGTTCTGTCAGCAGAGTGGTTCTGTCAGCAGTGTGGTACTGTTAGCGTGGTCCTGTTAGTAGTGTGTTCCTGTTAGCAGTGTGGTCCTGTT